GAGGGTTCTACTTACCTTTACTACCAGTTTGCAATGAGGCCACATGTGCGCTCTTCTGCGCATGCACAGAAGCATTCTGATGACGACGGGGTTGGTGGGCGGAGCCTCCTGCTGGTTTTACTACCAGTTCTATAGAACCGGTGCAAACCGGGGGCAACCCACCACTGATGCTGTTGCAATGTAGGCCCTGTACCTGGAGACTGTAAGGGTCTAGATGGGGAGACACTGGCTTTGATTCAACCATGACAAGACAGAGTGGCTCTGGGTTTTTGACCCCCTAGGGCCGTGATGGCGAACCTATGGCACATGTGCCACAGGTGGCACGTGGAGCCATATTGGTGGGCACGCGAGCTCAGCTCTGGCACACATGCATGCACCGGCCAGCTGATTTTCGGGCCTTCTGGGCCCACTGGAAGTCGGCAAACAGGCCATTTCCGGCCTCCGGAGGGCCTCTGGGGAGGGTGGGGAAGGCCATTTTCACCCTCCCCAGGCTCCTAGAAAGGCTCTGGAGCCTGGGGAGGGTGAAAAACGGGCCTACCGGGCCCACCATGCCATCACATGCCAAAAGAGAGGGAAGCGCGAGGGGGATCACGCACACATGCGCGGGGGCAGGGCGTATAGAATTATGGGTGTGGGCACGCACACACGCAACCCCCCCGTGCTCCCCCCGCTTTTGCACGTGATGGCAAAAAGGTTAGCCATCACTGCCCTAGGGCCTAGGCCCAGGTGATATTTAACTTCTGACTCTGGATGGGATGGCGCTCCCTTGGACTGAGCTGGTGTGCAATTTGGGGATCCTCCTAGACTCACAGTTCCTGCTTGAGGAGCAGGTGGCAGCCATGACCAGGGGAGCCTTTGTACAGATTTGACTTACATGCCACCTGTGTCTCATCCTGGACCAGGAAGCTTTGCTTGTGGTCTCTCAAGCCTCCATCAGTTTCCATTGGGATTATTACAATGCATTCCGCATGTGGCTGCCTTTGAAGACTACGCAGCAGTTAGAATTGATCCAGAATGCAGCAGGGAGTGCAGTGGTGCTCCAAGGTTTACTCACATTATACTCCTTTTCTTTGATCTGTACACTATAGATTCATTCTATTTTCTGTGGCTCTTCCCAATAGTTGGGTATATAAACATGACAGAAAAGGCTTTATGTAGATTGAATACTACAGTCGTTTATTTTCCTTACTTTCCCCCCCCCCCTTCAGGTCCTTTTCAAGGAACAAGGAAAATCAATATTCATTTATTTATTATTTATTTATTAGATTCATATTGCTGCCTATTCGCCCATGGCGACTCATATATGACAACAACATGTTGTTGAAGAATATTCTTCACTAGAGGTTCCTACATTTTATTCTGTTACGGAGGTTGGGACAGCAAACACAGGCACACAGAGCCCATTACTACATGCATACAAATCCAAATATCTTTATAATAGTAGCAGTTGTCCTGCTTTAGTATCTAGTTAAATTGGCATGAAAGGCCAAGCATGAATTGTGTAATACTGGCTGAACTCTCATTGGTTGATTTGCAGTTGTCTCTTAGATACCAAAATCCAGATAGAATATTTTAAAATGCTAGAATGGCATTATCTACAGCAGGGGCGGGTTTCAAAACCCATCGCTACCGGTTTGCTCGTGGGCACATGTGCGCAATGCTTCTGCGCATGTACAGAAGCGTCTAGGCGGGTGGGCGGAGCCTCCCGCTGCCGCTACCGGTTCGCCCGATCCGGGGCGAACCTGTAGCAACCCACCACTGCTCTACAGTATTTCTAAATCTATATCCATTGGTGAAAAAGGTTCTAAGCCTTTCATATATTGTAGGGACTTCTAAATAGAAGGGCCCAGCTGTATGGATTCCTTAGAAACCAGTGCCAAATTGGAACAGCAAAGCTAACTCAAATTCTGGTCCAAGATTGCTTAGGAATACTGCAGATACAGTCAGCTGACTGTAGATACTATTTAAGCTGACAATACTGAATCGCAGATGGACAGATAGCATTGTTTGGATTGAGCACATTGGATTGAGCACATTGGAAGACATTTCAGTTCACAGAAGACCACACAGCTAGTTGAGGCTTAAAAAAGAAACCCAGAGAAATGACTTCTGTTCTGTGATAACAAGCTAGTTTCATGTTCAGTGGCTGTAGAGGTGATCATAAGGACTACAAATAATATTTGGAAACGAATATCAGAAGTCTGCAGGGTTTGTCAAGAACAGATGTATCTCTCTTCATGGGGGCATTTGGATGGGTTTATTGAAATAATACCCTCATCAGACCAGCCTGCTTCTGCCTGAATGAGAGTTGTGGCATCTCAATTGTCAAATGGCTTTCCCAATGCTTTTCCCTGTGATTATTTGGAATCACAGCTAACCAAACTAGATGTGCTCATACGAGTATCAGGGCTTGCTCATCTGTGCAGACTGCCGATCTCAATTGCTGTGCCTCAAATCCAAAGTATCATGCTTGCTCTGTGAACAAAAAACTGAGATGCAAGGATAACAAGAAGAGGATGAACTGATTTATAACCTATTCAGGATCTCATAGAGTCAGGAACAAGAAATGAAAAGGAAATTCCCTACTGAGTTCCAAAGTTTGCTCTCCACGTTGGACTCAGAACATCAGAAACTTGATTCGCACCAGCACTTATAAGAAAAAGAAGCATATAGCCTTCCCTGAAATGGTAAAGAAAACAAGGGGTAAACTAGCGTTTCCCAACCTTAGCAACTTTAAGATATATGGACATCATCTCCCAGCATGACTGACTGGGGAATTCTGGGAATTGAAGTTCACATATCTTAAAGTTGCTAAGGTTGGGAACACTAGTTTAGGAGATTCAAACTATGGGGCAATAGATACTGATTACCTGGGTTGGAAAAATTGAATTTATAAGAATAGGGCAGCACTGAAGTATCTTCCAAGTGGATGATTCAGCCAAACTAGGTTTGAATAGATGGCATAAGACCTCAAGAGTTCAAGGTGATATGAAGCGGCTTTTAATTGCCTGATATGTACCCTTCCAGATACAGATAAACTGCATAAATGTTTCTGTAGAATTCCCTCATCTAAAAGGCATGTGCAGTGACTCCTGGTGTCCATAGTGTAGAAGTATTTGCATTTGATACTTCCCAGCCAGCAAATTTTATTTTTTTATTTATTAGATTTTTATCCTGCCTTTGTTAATTTATAACATATTTCAAAAACTCCACTTTTGAAGCTCAGTCAGCCACAGCCATTGCATAAGTGCATCTGCTCAATAAAGTAGGTTTAATTAAAATATCCAGGGATTAACATTAACAAGATTTCTTTTTTAGGGAGTAGGCAATCTGGCATGGCAGCAAGACTTCTGTACCCTCCCTGAGAAAAACATAAAAAGCATTAGCAACTCTGTTTATTTTATATCCTTTACCAAGGATTTGGTCCCTGGCTCTTATCAAAGAATTGCAAAATGTAAGGGTGAGAAAGGAACCTGGAGTTCATATTTCCTGCCTAATCAGGAGATTGGACTAGAAGATCTCCAAGGTCCCGCCCGACCCTGTCCCGTCCCGTCCTGTTCCTGTTCTGTTCCTGTTCTGTTCCTGTTCTGTTCTGTTCTATTCTATTCTATTCTATTCTATTCTATTCTATTCTATTCTATTCTATTCTATTCTATTCTATTCTACTCTACTCTACTCTACTCTACTCTACTCTACTCTACTCTACTCATATAGTATAAATCAATATAAATCACTAGTGAGGAAATAGGGTGAATACTTCTAGGGAATGAAAACCCACCATCCCTCAAAATAAATTATTCCACTATCAAATAAAGGTAGTCCTAGACTTAGAACCACAATTTTAGTCTAAAATTTCCATTGCTGAGCAAGACAGTTGTGAAGTAAGTTTTGCCCCATTTTATGACCTTTCCTGCCGCAGTTGTTAAGCGAAGCGTTTGTTCATTAAGCAAGTCTGTCTTCCCCCCTTGACTTTGCTTATCAGAAGCTGGTTGGAAAGGTTAGAGATGGTAGTCACATGACCCTGGGACAGTGCAACTGTCATAAATACATGCCAGTTGCCAAGTGTCTGAATTTTGACCACGAGGATGCTGCAACAGTTGTAAGTGTACGAAAACCCGTCGTAAGTCCCTTTTTCTCAGTGCCATTGTAACTTTGAATAGTCACTAAACAAATCATTGTAAGTCGAGGACCCCTTGTAGTTCACATCATAAACTGCTGTTCAGCCAAGTTTGATTTCCTCTAGAACGTTTGTGCCAATGGAGTTGGCTGGTTTTGTACCAAGCAACCTACAAAGCCCAGTCATGGGAGTAAATCTGAAAAGCAAGTCCTCCTGCAGAAGGGGATAAATAAGGCTTAATGAGGTTTGCTTATTCTCTTTCTTTCCCTGCAAATCTGCTGAGTAGGACAGATGGTGTTAATATGCTTACGTTGCCTACAAGAGATTCAGCTGCACCTCCCTCCCCATCCCCCCAGGGGATGGAGGGGGAAGGGAAGAAGATTGAGATTCATTCTTTCCCTTCAGATCTTGTTTCACAATGACAGATATACCAATCCCAAAGCAGAATGTGAACCATTGATTCACTCCAGGGCAGGTTGAGACATCACCCAGCATTATGATTTGGATATACAGTATATACCCATATATAGAAACTTAATCTATGGTCTGAGTTTGGGTGTCTCCAAGGCATAACTACTTATGGTTTAGTGTGTTTTGCAAATAAGATCCACATAGATATGAACCATTCTTGGCGTGAAACAGGAAGCAGGATCAATCAAATCATAAATTGCCTTGAAGTTAAAGCAAACATGGATGGGTGTATGCATGTCAGGTTGCGCATGAGTGAAAAGAGGGTGCTTCAGATTAGATTCTTAAGGCAAAGAGGAGGGAATTTTCCCAGATGGCTCCTGCAGACATCTGAACATGAACATGCCTGTTTGATTGTGTGGCTGCAAGTCAGGAAAGACAAGGACTCTCCTGCCTGGATTTGAAATCAGAAAAGGAGGAGACTGGGGAAGGGGAGGGTAAGGAGCTGAGAAAAATCTCCAGGTATGTTTGGAGATTAGCACAAAGGCGAGGAACAACTCTACCACTGAGGCAGGCTGAAGCTGAGGGACAAAAACTCTTGAGTGTCTTAAAGCCCATTCTAGATCTTCCCAGTGTACAAGATTTAATACCTGGCATGGGTCCACGACATTGGTGATCCTAGGAATATTTAATTCCACTTCGGCAACATTGGTAAGTGCATATCTCTCCTTGAACATGCAGGCATTTATGCTCCTTATCAACTCTGAACTACAGGGAGGGCTTGAAATTGTGTTCTCACCATTCGTCCACAGTCTGGAAGGGAATTTGTAACTGTCATGTTTAAGCTGTTTGCTTTCTGCCGGGAAACTTAATTTTGGAAATAGGGTCAGCAGTGCAATTTGCTGTATATTGGGTGTTGATGCATGGAGAGCCTTGAAGGGATCCAGGCATCAATCTGGAGTGGCAAGTACTTCCGGTACAGACGGATTCTCATAAATATTTATCCCAAATCCTCCACAATAACTTTGGGCATGGTTGTTTCATCTCATGAGGGTTGACATTCTCTAAGTGGGATGTTTTAGCAGTAGAAGATCTCACAATGTAATACTTTATTGCTAAAGAGTAAATGAGCATGGCTAGCTATCAAATCAAAAGAGAACAAAACTAAAACAAAACAAAACAAGCAGTGACATTTCAGAAGTGCAATATTTAGCCAGAGTTTACTTCTTTCTCTGGACTTCACTTTGTTATTTCCTTTGGAAGAAGGTCATCAAAGGCTTGCGGTGCTTAATCATGTGTTTGTTACGAATATACAAGTTGAACTTGAAAGGAGGCAGAAGAATTCGGGGAGTTGAAATCCACACATCTTAAAATGGCCAAGTTTCAAAAACATTGTTCTATTTTATTCACTAAGCTAGTTGGGGATGTTGGAGCTTGTGGCCCATTTATCAGAAAGGACTAGATTGGGGGAATAGGCTACCCCATCTTTTCTTTCATATGTTTGTGTGTGTGTGTGTGTGTGTAGGAGGGAGGGAGGGAGGGAGGAGGACTTTGTAAAGAACGTCTGACAGATGGTTTTCTGTGGAGTCGTTTTGCTTCCATCTCTCTAAATCTCACACTTTGAATGCAATTTAGCAGCCAGTCAGTCCAGGCTGTGTGCAAGCAAGTAACCACAGATTCTCATGATTATATCAGTCACTATGCCTTCAGTGCACATTTCTTATAGGGTAGGTTGTTTGAAAGAATGCTTAGGTAAGCTTTTGCAAGATTAGGCAAGATGTTCAAGAAAGGTGAATGTTATATAAAAAGGTGCCATTTGGAAGGTGAGGATTCAGTTTCGTTTGAGCCCAGTGGCCAGACTTTTCATTGTGAAGCCTTTTCCCCTAGGCTACGCAATGTCTTCCTAGTCAAAAAAATCTCAGAAGTTAGTGCATGTTTATCAAAATTGCTAAGATTTCTCCAAGTACCAGACAGAAATCAAGTGTGAATTATGTTATTTATTTATTTATTTATTTATTTATTTATATATTTCAATTTATTGTCTGCCCAAGTCCAGTGAACTCTGGGCAGTGTACAAAACTAGGAGAAACATAAAAACAACTAAAAATGTTGAATTTCACAGACAGCCCAAACTAAAAGTATATAATGAAGAGCAAAAACAAATATGTCCAGGTCCAATGCTCCATGGCATTGGACCTGGATACCTTCGAGACCGTCTTCTGCCACCAGTAGCCTCCCACCAGCCAGTTCGCTCCCACAGAGAGGGTGCCATCGGCCAAATTATGTCGGCTGGCGACACCCAGGGGGAGGGCCTTCTCTGTGGGAGCCCCTGCCCTTTGGAATGAACTGCCCCCAGAAATTCGTAAAATCTCTGATCTCTGTGTATTTCGCTGTGCCCTCAAAACCATGTTGTTCCGCCAGGCTGGGCTATCAATGTAAAGATTTTAATTGGTTTTAAATGGGATTTTAAATTCGGGGTTTTATAAATTGGGCCTATTATTTAATAATTTTAATTATTTTTAAATATTGTCTGTCTTTGTGTTTTTAATTAGGCTGTACACCGCCCTGAGTCCATCGGGAGAAGGGCGGTATAGAAATAAAATTAGTAAATAAATAAATAAATAAAAAATGGTATCTTAAACAAACCATAAACATCAATCGTAGGCCTGAGATCAAAGCCAGGTTTTCAAAGCTTTCCAGAAGCTTAGGAGTGCAGGTACCATTTTTATCTCTGGAGAGGATGCTGTCCCACAGGTTAGGGGCCATAACAGGTAAGGTGTGCTTCCTTGGTCCCATGAGAAGATAATGTTTAATATAGGGAAACTTCCACTCTATTGAAAGATACTGGGTGGGCAGAAACTATTGGAAATAAGCAGCCTCCCACATATCCAGGCCCTATGCCATACCAAGCCTTATAGGTAAAAATCAGCATCTTAACTGGCTCTCAGAAGCTGACTGACAGCCAATGCAGCTTATGTAGTAGTTGTAACGCACACGCACACCAGAGGGTGCCTGTTACTGCCTGCATCCATTGCATTCCGAGCTTCTGGACTGCTTCATGTACAACACATTGCAATAATCCAGTTATGAGGTGACCAGGGCATGAGTGATTGTCTGAAGGGTCTCCTTATCGAGGAAAGGGTGCAACTAGTGCACAGAATGGACCTGTGCAAAAGCCCTCCAGGCAGGGCCTTCTGTTACCTGACATGACATGAGGTAAAACATGCAAAAGGGCAGGGAGAAACATAGGCCTTGCTGAACAAGAAGTAAAATAGGAAGAGGCTTTAACCCTGCAGAACCTGGCCCTAAACCTCTCCCATTTTAATGACAATATGTTATGTTGGACTGTTGATCTTGCTTTACAGAAGGGAGGGTTGGTTATGGGATTCCGGTTTTTGGAAAGAAGAGTGACTTTTGAGCACTGTTGATGAAAAGCCTTTATATTAACTCACCGGCTGGCAGCCTTTTGCACAATGAGCCAAACCCAATGTCAGGGTTCCAAGTAACACCCCCAACAAAAGAAAACTCCAAGGCTCGAGTTTCCTCAAAGTTCCAATTTATTAGAGATGTCATATTGGCACATCTGGGAAAACCCAAATCTGAAAGTTCCAGGTTTTCCCCACCCAAAGGAAAGTTCAAGTCCCTGCCCAGCATCCACATGACCATCACATGGTCCAATCAAAGCACCGTCCCAACTGGAGATGCCTCCCAGTTCCAGCTATCCAGGTGCAGGGCAAGATGTCCTTGACTTTCTGAGAAAGGAACATTATTATGTCTACTGTATATATCACCCTGGCTCCATACAATTCCCCCCTCCCAGTTTCCCACAGTAGTAAATGTGGCAGGCCTGAAGATCCAACAAAAAAGATGGCTTCCAGGCCTGCATTTGTAATGTATATCAGAGGACTCCAGGATCCTTTCCTTAAAATTATTTTTCTGCTTTGTCAACAGTATATTGTCCACCTGCTTCGCGGCCTTGTGTGCTTGGCTCCTTCAGCTCATGATCCCGCCGAGAGCAACGCTAAGAGGGGATTGGGAGGCTTGAACAGCATGGAAGAATCACAAGCAGAGCCTGCAGGTTTAGAGAAGGTCAGCTGTCCCCTTCCTGGAGATTAACTAAGCACTTTGGACTCTGTTTCCTTTCCTTCCTCTGGCTCCAGCAGTCTGCAATAAATGTTTCATCCTTATGCAGAGTGTAGAGTGCAGATTCTGTAACTTTTAAGTTCTAGAGCAAAACAAAGGCAAACCATTTACATTGGATTTATTCTTGCCAAAATGCGCTTATCCATTAATCCAGTTCTAAGACCATCTTAAATTGTGTATAGTACAGTGCTGTACAAGTGCTTTTTCTCCCAAAAAATGCTTGTTAAGTATACAGGAGTGTGAACGTAGCACGTCTTGGAACAAACCAACCGCTCCTGGATGTTCTGAGGCACCATTTGGAGAATTAATCCAAAGTGCCGCAGAAATCCTTAATCAGAATAAGCGGTAATGGAAGTGCCCTCAGATCAATAATGGAAAAGAGGCCACTTCATGTCAGGCAAAAGTAAACCACCTGGCATTGTATTACAGGGCCTCTGATGGAAAAGGATCTTCTCCACCCTCTTTATCAATTGAATATCTCTGACTGAAAATGACACTTATTGAATCTGGTCCACTCTACACACAGAACAGACGCTGTGTTACTAAACCATGGATTCCTTCTAAGCTCTTCCATAATTTCTACTAGTTCAGTGTTTCTCAACCTTGGTAGCTTGAAGAGGGGTGGACTTCAAGCTATCAAGGTTGAGAAACACTGAACTAGTTAATAATGAATAATAATTTTTGTAACTCCATTCTCCATCAAGGGGCAGAAATAAAACCTGTGGAAATATTTCATTACATGCCCTTTATCTTTCCCACCATGCTGGCTGGAGAAATTCTAGGAGCTGAAGTCCACGCATCTTAAAGTTGCTGAGGTTGAGAACAAAACACTGCTCCGGAACGTAAAAGAACCAGGCATCTGGAACAGGCCATTTTTAGACTCTCACTTCCAAACTCATGCCCTATCTCCACTGACTGCTATTCTAGGGGAAATTGGGGAGTTGAAGTCCATACATCTTAAAGTTGCCAGGTTTGAAAAACTCTGAGCTAGATTGTGCTTCAGCATTTTCCATTGGCTTTCTAAATAGTGGATTCCATCACTCTTGCTGATAAAAGTAATTAACTGTTAAAACCAGTTTTTAATAGTATTTGACCAGAATCTGCTTTCCTGCATTGTAAATCCATTGATCTTTATAATCCATATCCTGATAAAATACAGAACCTGTTGTGGTGTTTTGGGCATTATCCAGGGATGAAATTCACTTACCTTCACTACTGGTTCATTACCGCACATGCGACACCTCTGTGCATGTGCAGGACCTTCCGTGCATACGCAGAGGGTCAAAAACAGGACATGATGACTTCCGGGCAGGTGGGCGGAGCCTTCCACCACTGGCACTACCAGTTTGCCCGAGCCATATAGAACCGGCTCAATTTCACCACTGGCATTATCCTTTTAGATCAGTGTGCAAGATTCTGGGAGTTGAAATCGACCCATCTTCAAGCTACCAAGGTTGAGAAACACTGAACTAGTTAATAATGAATAATAATTTTTGTAACTCCATTCTCCATCAAGGGGCAGAAATAAAACCTGTGGAAATATTACAACCGAATGGAACATGCTGGTGTTGGCCAGAGAGTTTAGACTTTACATTATATTGATTGTATTCTTTATTGTCCAGGTTTTGATTGATTATATACTACTGTGAAATCTGCTGAATCTAGAAGATTTCTTAACAATGGCTTGGTCACAAAGTTGTCCTTTTTTGAGCATAAAACTGGTGGAAAGCAATAGTGGTTGAACGCTAGGCAGCATTAAATAAGTTTAGATTGATTGCAAGCTTTGTTTTCCAACCGGTTATGGCATGAGAACAACCTTGATCAACCTGATAAGAGGACTTTGGTTTAAAGATAGCAAGAATTCCTTTGATCTCTCAGTAGCAGCTTTGATGCTATCAACTTTGGTAACTAGCCGAACTAGTTTAGGAGATTGGAGTCCAGAGCAATAAGGTTTTCCTCTCTTAACCTGAAGAATGCATTTTAGAAAGTAGCAGTAGGGATGGGAAATCTGAGCTTGGACTGCCATCTTCTCCCTGCTCCCTCTCTCTCTATTACCTCTAAGTGGTTGAGTACTCCAATTACTTGGTTCAAGATATGATTGTTCAACCTGTTCTGGATTGCTATTCTCCCCAAAGGAGAGTATTCAGTTTGAGCATGTTTGCTGAACCAACATTTTCAGACATCTTAATGACATCAGTCAGTTATTTATTTATGTATTTATTTATTTCTCATATTTTTAAGGCTGCCCTTGATTCTGGGTGGCATTAGCTAAAAGTTTTGGGCAAAAGTAATCTAGTCACAGTTACTATGTTCTGGTAACTTCCAAGACAGATTATTGATATCATTCTCCATAACTATCTGGAAGCTTCAGTTAGTGTACAATTTGGCAGGAAAAAATATTCCTGGGGTTCTTAGTTGATGATACTTCAGTTTAAAATATTTTTATACAACTAGTGCCAAATCAAAGCATTTTTTTTTTTGCCTAACCTCTCATTTTTTTTAAAAAAAAAAATTGATTTATATGCCGCCCTTCTCCGGAGACTCAGGGCAGCTTACAATGCGTTAAGCAATAGCCTTCATACTTTTGTAAATTTATACAAAATCAGTTTATTGCCCCCATAATCTGGGTCCTCATTTTACCTACCTTAGAAAGGATGGAAGGCTGAGTCAACCTTGAGCCTGGTGAGATTTGAACTTGCAGTAATTGCAGGCAGCAGATGTAAGTGGATCTTAATTAGTCTGCTGAGCCACCAGAGCTCCTCTTATTAGATTAATTTAACTCTTACACTGTGTTCCTTCAACGTACTTAATCAAATTAGCTAAACTTAGTAGGACAAGTCTTAAGTAACTTTTTTCAAGGCCATTGCAACTTTGAACTCTTGTTTTCAATGAATGGTCATACCTGCATAGAGTCTATCTTCCCTTAAGCATTTAGAACAGGAGTGTCAAACTGGCGGCCTATGGGCCAGATGCATCACATGCAGGCCATGCCCAACCCAGCTCTGCCAAGGGGAAAACATCACGATATGTCACGTGACAGCAACATGACACAGCGTGTTTGACACCCATGCCATTGAATAACATCTTGCTACTTACTATTCCAGTAATAATAATAATAATGTTATACCTGTCTTCTGGTGGTCTATATAACTTGACATTAGGATGTATAGTAGACCCCTTCTTTGGAGGAACATTGTGGTTCCAGTGTCGAATATTGCCTGCTTATTGTGAGGGAGGGTGTGGTGCAATTCATTACTTTTTCTGTATTTGCTTTTGTTCTTAAGCATATATTGCCCTGAGAACCTTCCACTGAAGTCCAATTTGCAAGTGTACTGAATAAATAGAAAAAAATATCCTGTTGGTTTTAACCAATGTGGCTTTATTCATGTACTTCTGTTATTGGCACAGAATTAAGAAAGGATTGAAAGATTCAAAAAGCAAAACTTCCTTTCATTACAAGCAGTCCTCATCTTAGGACAATTTGAGCCAGAATTTCTGTTGCTGAGCAAATCAGGTGTTCAGTGAGTCACTCTCAATTTTATGACCTTTTTTTTTTTGCCATGGCTGCTAAGTGGATCGTTGCTGTTGTTAAGAGGAACACATATCAAATTTGGATTTCCTTGCTGATTTTGCTTGTCAGAATCCGGTTGAGGTTGCAAACAGACTTCAGATGACCCAGGACTGCAACTGCCATAAATAAATGTTGGTTATCTAGTGTCTGGCTTTTGATTGCATGACCGTGAGGATGCTGCGACGGTCCTAAGTGCAAGGACCAGTTGTAAGTCACTATTTTCAGTGCCATTATAATTTTGAGTGGTTGTGAAAGGAATGGTTGTAAGTCGAGCACTCAGTGTATTCTATTGAGAGGTGATGTGGTGCGCTAAAGGTAAAAGACATCAATATTAAAAGATCCGCTTGGCTCCTTACAGGGTTCAAAGGAGGAGGAAGCAAGGCGGCCGGTGGCACAGTGGACAGCAGCCGAAGTGTGTGTCTGGCTAAGAGGAAAAACCTTGGGAACTCCAGGCAGCCCGCTGCTGGAGGCAGCCAATAGCCATGCCATTTCTGGCAAGGCTCTCTTGCGCCTCTCCGAGGAAACCCTGGAGCGCATGGGCATAGCGTCAAAGAGCCTGCGGGAGGAGCTATTGCAGGAGATTCTCCTCCTGCGCATTCAGCAAGAAATGGAAGATTTGCTGGATATTTCAGATGGTGAGTGATGGGTATCTGCTTAAAGCTACCTACAGAACATGCTGTAATGGCACTGGGTGGAATCAGAATTTGGGGAGAAAAGGAAGTGGAAGGCAGGATATGATTGTAATCTCTCTATAGAGCAAGGGTGCCAAACTCGATTTCATTGAGGGCTGCAACAGCATTGTGTTTGACCTCAGGGGGCTGAATGGGCATGGCCAGGGTGGGCATGGCCAGCTCAACATCCTGCAGCCCTCTGCCAGCGAAAATGGAGCTCGGGAGGGCTGTGCGCAACCTTCACGAGCTCCGTTTTTGCTGGCAGAGGCACCGCGGACTGGTCCTTTGCTGTTTCCAGGGGGGCCCCGTGGGCCAGATCTAAGCACCCCGTGGGCCAGATCCGGCCCGCAGGTCTTGAGTTTGACACCCCTGCTATAGAGCATGCATAACACACCTGCCCATTCTTCTTGCATGGGTGCTTCATTCTTAAATGTCTGTGTCAGGAACACAATCAACAACTCCAAGAATACACTAACATTTTTGGCAGTCTCAACTGTTCTGCGAAGTTGCTCATCTTGCCACCTAGCACAATACAGGTAGTTCTAGACTTACAGCAGTTCATTTAGTGACTGTTCAAAGTTACAACAGCACTGTAAAAAGTGACTTATGACCGTTTTTCAGTTACCTTTGCAGCATCCCCATGATCATGTGATCAAAATTCAGATGCTTGGCAACTGGTTCGTACTTATGACCGTTGCAGCGTCCTTGGGTCACGTGATCAACTTTTGCAACCTTCTGACAAGCAAAGTCAATGGGGAAGCCAGATTCATTTAACAACCAGATTACTAATTTATCAACTATAGTGGTTCACTTAACAACTGTGGTAAGAAATGTCATAAAACAGGGAAAAACTCATTTAACAAATTCTCACTTGACACCAGAAATTTTGGGCTCAGTTGTGGTCATAAACTGAGGACTACCTGTATCATCTATATTAACTGGCAGCAGGTTCCCAGCTAAAGTCTTTATTTATTTTATTTATTTTTCATATTTGTATACCGCCCTACTCCCGAGGGACTCAGGGCGGTGAACAGCCATAAATAAATACAAAGACATACAAAAGTTAAAAACTATTAAAAAATATTAAATAATTTAGGATTAGGTTCAAAGATTAAAACATCCAATTTAACTAAAAGAGATTTAAAACCCAATTTAAAGCCAATTTAAAGGCCAATTTAAAAGGGAGAATTAGGCCAGACCAGCCTGTTGGAATAAAAACGTTTTTAGGGCGCGGCGGAAGATGCGTAGGTCTTGGATCCTCCGTATCTCCGGGGGGAGCTCGTTCCAGATGGCAGGTGCCCCCACAGAGAAGGCTCTCCTCCTGGGGGCCGCCAGTCGACATTGTTTGGCTGACGGCACCCCGAGGAGCCCCTCTCTGTGGGAGCGAACTCGTCTACCAAAAACTGGTTTCCCTGCTCTACCTGGAAAGATTAAAGATAAAATTGGGGACTTTCTTCCTGCAAAACAGAAATTCTACAACTGAATTACATCTTTATCGTCATCTTGAAAACACTAAATAATCTACCAAGAGTAGCCATGGAATTGGAGCAATGTGTTTTGCAGTGAGGATGAGGCCCATGCAGTCAACATTTTTTTCATGCTGTTGGTCAGCAACTTTTTCATCAGCTGACAAAACAAAACTTGCCATTACTTAATTCAACTACTGCACAGATGCTCTATTGTGTTAATATGTTGTATGAGCCAGGCCATCACATGGTTTGGACTTTGGAGGCAACAGAGGCGTTTTGTTAACTAAAACCTAGGTTTAATTACGTTGCATGAGTCTATGTTAAGAGTCAAACCAAGGATAACCCAATTCCCATTTCAGCATCTTGGCTGTGTCAGGTTTCAATGTCGTCTCAAATAAAATAAATTGCATTTCCAAACAGATAGTCTTTGAAGAAATCTTTCATTTTATTAAGCACGACAACCTGTCCCTGATCGTGGCGTAGCCAACTCTGACTTCCTGACCCCAAACCTTCCCTTTCCGTTCCCCAATTCTCTGCATCTCATTGGCCTTCTTCCAAATCACTCTCCCCATATCTACTACTTAAGCTCCCAGAAATGTCCCCCCTCCCATCTCATCTCCTAGGAGATATTATCTTCAGGGAAAATAAGTAGGTGAGAAGTCAAGCGTCCTCTTGCCAGCTGCCCCCTCTTCTCATGTCAGCACTAGAGTAAATGCAGGTTGAAGTGCTGACACTTTATTACATCAACATATGCAACAGCATGTGTTCAGATATACCAGAGGTGTCAAACTCAATTTCATTGAGGGCCGCATCAGGGTTGTTTGACCTTCGGGCGCCTGAGTGGCCAGTTCAATGTCACTCATGTCAGGGGTGCCTGTGGTGGCCCGAGTGCTCTGCCAGCAAAAATGGGCTCCTGAGCTCCGTTTTCACTGTGATGGCCTCCTGCAACCCTCTGCCAGCGAAAACGGAGCGTGGGGTCCTCCCAAGCTCCTTTTTCGCTGGCAGAGGCACCACGGCAGGTCTTTCACTGTTTTCAGGGCAGCCCCATGGGCCAGATCTAAGCACCCTGCAGGCCAGATCCGGCCCATGGGCCTTGAGTTTAACACCCCTGAGATATACGGTTATAAGATCGTTTTCAGTTGTTGCCACTGTCTGACATTGGTGTCCTTAATTGTTCCTTTCTGCTACTCCTTCTCTCACACAGAATAACCCAGGAGATCTAACAGGTTAACATCACAACTGTCTGGAAAGCAGCCATCTTGAAGCATCCTCTAGAATTGGTTATTGGTGTCAGCTGTGCCTCCAGTTGGATTGTGGGTCATTGGAGAACGAAAATCAGGCCATTTGAGACTGGGACTCAATTCTTCACGTCCAGTGCAAGTTCTTTTGCAGAAAAGTCTGGACTTGGAAAAGGAGGCATTTCTGTTGTTATTACCCCAAATGAAAAGACCTGCTGAGAGCTATTGAAAATGCACTTCCATACTGGGCTATTCTGCGGCAATGAATTGGGGAATTAAATCCTTGGAGAGCATTCAAGGTTTCCAGGTTATCTTAAGAACAAACCTATTCACGTCATCTAATATCAGAGACAGACAACCTAGATATTTTGAGCAACTCCCTAATACCTTGATTGTTCCATGTCTAGGCCTGATGGAAACTGAAAATCCAAAACATCTGCAAAGAATCGGTTGGGCTTCCCATTTATTAAACCGCGGTAATACTCTGGATTCAGGCAACCATAGCATTTGTACTTTGTGTCATATTTAATCCTTGTCTCTTTTTAGACAAGTATTTATATTATTGCCAGGATAGGCATTGTTTTTCTCTGCTCCAAATAAATTGGACAACCATCTTTTTGGGATGGTATAAAGAACTCCTGCCTTAAATAGAGGGTTGGACTAGAAAATCTCCAAGGTCTTTTCAGTCACATGATTCTATGATTCTGTGAAATTCCTTTCTGTTCCTTGCCTCTTGAAAGCCAAATCCCTCTCTTCCACCTCTTCCTGGCAACCTTTGAAAAGAACCTGTAGCTTCCCAATTAGGAGAAAAAAAATATTGTATCAGCATTTTTTGAACTTCCACACATTTTAATACTTTTGCTATTTGTTATATTGACAGCAGTGATGATATTCAGCCGGTTCTATCCGGATTGGGCGAACTGGTAGTGGCGGTTGCGGGAAGCTCCGCCCACCCGCCTGGACATATATCACGTTCTGTTTTTGACGCTCTGCGCATGTGCAGAAGGCCCTGCGTATGTGCGGAGGTGGCGCATGCAAGCGAAGTGCGTGCGCACGCTTCACATTTGCGAACCGGTAGTGAAAGTAAGTGAATACCACCCCTGATTGACAGGTGCTATTTTATTTCTAGAATACTCCGATAACAAATATTGATTGGCAGATAGATTTTTGTTTTTAAGACCGTTTTGCAAATAAAATCATTTTATGCCAACACAAAAGAGATAGCATTGAGAATCGTACTTCTTAGATCTGTATGTTACATCCGTCCTGGCCCAGGAAGACTCTGTTATGACACCCTTGTGTTTAGCACTTGTTTTTAACAGACGCAACTCAGGATTTGATAAATGACAGCTCTCCAATACTTTCATTTCCGGAATGAAACAAGCACCCAAGAGATGAGATATTAAAAAGCTTGGAAAATTTATTGAAGTTTTATGTCATAATAGGCTTTTGAAGTTTTTAAATACAATAAATATTTATCAGTAATAATAGCATTCAATGGATCAGAATTCAAATCCATTGCCAGACTGTCAACCTCCCACAATACAGATAAGACAGATATGAATCTTGATGAAGGGTGACAGACTGTGGAGCAGCCCACAATGACATTATATAGTTTCTTATTGAAAGTATTTTTTTCCCACTAACATCAATAGTAATCTGTACAGTCAGTTTTGCTTTGACACAGCTTGAACTGCCCAGAATCTGCTTCAAAGAATACAAGCCAGAAGTTCACTTGCCCAAGAAGGGTAGGAAACTGTTCCTGGCAGTCAGCACCTATGAAGACCAAGGCACACACCCTCTTCCCCAAAAGAGACCCAGTTATTATTTTCCCCTTCTGGAGAAAAAAGCAGGAGAAAGTAAAGCTATCTCTTCCAAGTTCTACCCCTCTCCCCAAGTATGGTATCTTACAAAGAACTAATGATTTCATACTTTACTTGACTTGGCCAATGGCTTTCTGAAAACACCAAGGTCACAGAGTTAATCAAAAAGCAAGGAAAATTAATTGGTCCAATATTTATGTTTATTCTTGCTTCCAGACAGAACCTACTCTGAAAAGGGCACTTATCTTGCCTGTATTCCAGAGTCAACTTAAATGTGGAGAATGGATCCCTATCTATTCTCTCTCTCTCTCTCTCCCTTTTAAACTGAGAAACAAGTTCAATGGGTATTGATTGGGGAGATCTGGAATACCATTCAGTATTAAGCTTTACATTTTAGGATTACATTTCAAGCAAAAATGGCACTGGGAGGGGTGGGATGGGGGGGACACTCTGGCCTTATTCTTCAATGAATCTATGGGTAGATGCCAGTCTTCATGAAATATTTTTATCCAACATACTCTTTCCTGAAATCATGGAGAACAGTCAACAATCAATGTACGATTTAAACCCCTGAATGATTTACTACTGTAAGTCAAAATGAACATAGCCCCAATGCATAATTTTTACTGAACTTACAACCACAAGTCATCTGGGTTTTAGCTAGTTAGCATTCTACAGGTTTTCTTGCTGTTCATACCTAGTTCTGGACTGTTGTATTCTAATATATGAGGGCTATACAAATGGTTTCTGGGCCCAGCCCTTACAATATCTGCTTCTCTATGCAACCCACTTTTTGGATTCAGCTTTGCTAGCTGAATCTGGCTAGACTGTGGAGGGACTGGAAAAAAGCTAAGTGGCATCAGACCCCTAGAGTTGCTTTGCCCAGGAATCATCCTCTGTATCCCTGTATCCTTTGGCCTTCAAGGGCCAAAGCACAGATACTAAGACAATAGTCAATCAAGACAGAACAAAGACCTGTTTTCGGAACGTAAAATGGAATAGTTATTTGAAAAAAGGATGCAAGGGAATGGCACGCTACTGAAGAACTGGTTACAACTGCCCCCATCACATTCTATGCCATCTTCCACTCACTGAGGTAATCTAGAAAGCAAGATGAGGTTAGGTTCAAAAACTTGAAGCCAGTGGTTACACCCACCTCTTGAAGTGACAAAATGTCCACCACTTCAATACTCAGTACCTTTTATTTTCAGAACAGTAGAGATGAACCCAAACAGGGTGTTTTAAACCCCACCAATGGTGCATTTGACTCTCACCGAACTTGCAATCAGTTTTAAATCAATAATAAAATAAAGGAAAAAAATCCACAAACCTATTTTCCTGTTTAAAGGTGCTACTCCTTTAACTTGGACAACACTTAAAGAATGTTTTTTTTTAAGCTGACTTTTCCCTCAACTTGAGGAGAGTCATTTAAGGCACCAAATTCCTTATTGAGAAGCCCTGATAGATAGGAAAGAAGAATCACATTTTTTCCAGTGAAGACAGAAAGGCAAATCTGCCTCATATAACATGCCAGCAAACTCATGCAAAAGCAAATGTTAGCCGGAAGCTGCAGCGGCACTATTCTTGATCATCACAAGTGTAGATGTTCTCATATAATATGCATGCTTCTAAGCAGAATCTAATGGGATCATTTACTAGCTCACATTAAGCCTGCATACATATAAGGAACCCTGCTTCCCAAGAATATTGGCTTCTGTGGATAACCATCACTTTCTGTCTAAAGGATTCTTATGCCACAGTAGCCTGTGCAAAACTATACCATTGATCTGACAACTCTTTTGTTTCCAAGACAAACACTATTATCCCAAAGAAAGAGACTGAAGACCAAATGTTCCTACAATGATTCATTAATTAACCGTAAAGGCAGACCCTCCTCTGAACTGACCACCTTCTTAAAAATAGAAAATGGTTCCAAGAGATTATAACTACATGTCCTGTTTCTTACTGTTACTTATGATTGACAACTGGTTTATTTTATTCTAACTATTGCAACATCAAATATTCAAGCAAGCTCAATTCTTCTTTAAATTTTACTCCGTGTGCAGTGCTTTGATAAGAATAAAAAGCCTCCCTACCCCCATTTCAAGTTTTGCTTCACAGCAATGGAATATTACGTAAACAAAACAAAAATCTGAATTGTTTGCCATCCATGCCTAGAGATTTCTTTTTCCTGCTAATAATGAGAAGCGGGGCTTTCCTCGTTCCTTGCCATACCAGACATAGCATTTGGGGTAAGTCTTGAGAATCAGAAAAAATAAAACTATTTACAAAAAAGAAGGGATAGGAATGAAGGCAAGAATTAGTTCTAGGATGTTACACTGCATACATTTTGTTTTTTGACATAATGCTTCGTGTTTACAAAAGAAAAGATAAATAATAATTTCACAACTCAATATTTTCTACAGAATGGAATGCGTCATCCACAAGTGGAGCTCCTTATCAAACCATTCATAAAAGTTGCCTTTGCCATTAATTACATATGAAAAAAAAAATTCTGTGCTCACTTACTTCTGGGTGCAACCTTTCCAAGAAAAATGGGTTTAGGCTACACTCTTCATTTAAGCACACATACACATACAAACAAAAATCTTCCTCAAATAAAGTACAAACAGAAGAGAAAAATCAGTGCTGAGTCTTCACCATCACTCTATTGTTCAACTGATTCCCAACCAGATAATAAACAGAAGCAAACCATTTCTACAACCGAACATGGGGATCAAAACCATTTGCATTTCTTGTTTTCAATTAATTGTACCCAAGAAAAGCAGTGTCACTCGGAAAGAGTATGCACCACACCTAATAAACAATTCTGATGCAAGCCAACCTTAACCCATAAAATGGTAATGTTGTTTATCACAATCTCAACTTAATCCTATGATAAACATGAAGGAAGAATGTCTGTTACTCAGTCCTCCCCAATGTTTGAAATTACAGCATTTGCTGTGGCCCCACTCTCTCTTTGCAAGGCATGAGCCACAATTTGAAGGGAGGGGATTAAAAAAAAAAGGCATTTGGGAAAACGTAACTGACTAATCATGGCTTAAGGAAGTTGTGACCTCCGAGCTCTTTAGAAGAATCAATTGTTTCTTTAAAAAAAAAAAAAAAAACACCAATACCCTCTTGTATAACTGTATCTCTGATTTTAGGATGTGGAACAGTTTGCAATAATGTACTTCAGTTCCCAAGGGTAGTTTTCTGGGTCTCTCGTTCTCAGCATAGCCATGATGAGAGTTCTGTGGCAATATTACAGTTCTAAAGCCACCGTCCATGCCTTTGTGCCTGATGATCTTTCTTTGAAGATTCTATGAGGTCCTCTCCTGATCATGTAGTTTTACTGTCTGCACATTTCTGGAAGGTGGCATGAAGCAGCAGGGAAGGAGACATGAACAACAACCCTCTCTGGTTTCTGGGTCCTACATGTTCTGTGCCCCCCGCAACCCATCCAAAGCAGGTTAAATCTAGTTCCATGGTGATGGTTGAAGTATATTTACACAGGCTACCAAATTTACAGTGCCTCTGAAGACCGCAGGCTGACGTTTTCTTCTGATGATACCTTTTCCAAGCCTAGTCAATCAGAACTGGGCTTTTGTAAAGAAAAGGTTTGGATGTTGAAGTGTTTACTAAGCTGCCTCACCTAAATGGAAAGAGAAGAGAGCAAATGAAGATAAACCTGAAAACAAGGCTGGGCATGCAGAAGCTTTTCCCCTCCCCCTCTGTGCATTCACATTCTTTGACTGGAGCATAACTTAGACTTAGAATAACGTTATTGTCACTTTGAATGTACAGTAATCGGCATACATTAAAATGAAATTTTGTTGCATTCAGCTCTCAAAGAATCACAACCTCCAATATACACTACATAAGCATAACAAAATAAACAAATAAATAAATACAAACAAAGTTATGCATATACCCACATATATTATATGATACAGAGAAACAACACAGCGTAGTTCGGATGTATACATGTACATGGCTTTTTGTCAGTCTAGCAATCCTCCAGGTAATCCATTTTCCATTGACATTATTTCAAGGCAAACTAGAACTGGGAAGGGTATTTTAGGTAAACAGGTGATCCTACTTTAACAGGTCTGAAGGATGTGTTGCAGTGGGATGTTCAACGTGGCTAGAGCTTTGATCTTTAAGCAAGGACAACATATCAAGCTCTTGTTGGGTTTTTTAAAACTACTAATTGAAAGTTTTGGATTCCCTGCCAATCCCTGAAGCACCAAAGCTTTCATCCCCTTTGGTCTCTAAGAAAGGGCCCAAACCTTAGCATGTGGACCCACATGGTTAGTTCCCTAGACTTAAAGTCTCTCAGTACAAATTCAAAACTCTCAGAATCACCCAACAATTTGAGATTGCTTTGGTTC